GGGGGCGGTCGGTGGTGACAGTGACAGCGGGTGCATGCTATACATAATAACGGGCGACTCCATTCTAGTGCTAGGCTAGTTTTTACACTGTACTTTAATACGAAGCTTCCAAAACTCCCCCTTTTTTTAAAAACAAAGAAAAAAAAAAAAGAAAAGAAAAAAAAATCTTGAAAGTAGAAGATGCTTATGATGATGACAATGGTGTGTGGACTGTTAGTAAAACGTGCTGGTAGTTCCTAGGATGCTTATTACGAAATAATTAAATCTATGGGTGGATACTTTTCTGAATGTTCTTGAAAGGGCAAGAAGTTCCTGTGAAAAACCATGATACTGCAGCTTTATCAAAGTTTAAAAAAAGAAAAAGAAAAAAAAAAAAACAAACTGTAACATATCTCTTATATATATTAAAAACGTTTAAAGGTTTTAAAGATAAATTGCATTAATACAGATTGAAGTATTTTATTCTTTTTTGACTTGAAAAATTATATTTCATATTGCAAAGATGTTTACAAGTATTTTAATTTAAGTTCAGTGAACTTTTTGTAGCTGGGTTAAATCTTTTTTATTTTAGTATGGCCTTATGGCAAAGAACACTGTATTATTTTAATATCACACAATTGTGAACGGAATTACAAACCATAAAATGTGTAATGCTTTGAACAGTATTCTGTTGGGATGGAGATTTTATAGGTTCAGAAACAAATCTTTTAAATCTGCTTCACCCAGCATATTTTCTATTCAGTGATATAAAGCATATTTTATTCTATATTATTACAAAAATGGAAATGTATAAACATATGTCAAAAGGAACTGTTGAAGCTTTCTAACATTTGTATAAATAGAATTCAGTGGAAATTACAAAAATTCTGTTGCACCACTATAGTTTTAGTATTTCTATTTTAATACATTTGTTTACCACTTGTTTATGTATATGTAGGTGACGTTACTTGAGCTTAAATGTACTTTACTGAGCAAAGTTTAAAACAAAGTATATTTTATTTTATGATAAAGGGCCTTTAACCTCATGGTCAAATACTAATATTATATTTGCTGAGACAAGATTTGAAATTGTATCAAGAGTTTTATTTTTCTGACATTTAAAGTTCTACATAATAAAAGTAAAACTTAAGTAATGGTGCTACTTCATGTTTTTTTAAGTATTTCTATATAAATAAAATAAAATATTACAGAAAAAAAAAAGTTTTCGGTGTGGTGATTTGATTTGATGTGCTGAGAGTTTCTGCTGGCATTTTTTGTTACCCGCTTGTAGCACTGCAACATGTTGGGGGTTTAAACTGTGTCATGTTAATGTTGCTGGAACTCTTGAGCTCGTGATAGATTCCAGAATAATCCTGGCAGTGCTCATACCTTATAACATGTTTTTAAGGAAAAAATAATAATAGTTTGTTTTTTTAATATGTGGCATATTGCTGGGGTTATTCCACCTCTAGAAATACTGTGTTTTTTTCTGAATTTTTAGTCACAAAAAATACTTGGTTTCATCTGAATTGCTACTTTTAGCAAATAAAGCGTATGTAAGAAAGAGCTGACAGCTTTCTGATCTAAAAGCAGATGGCAGGGGAGGCCCCTTTGTTGTCATCCTGTGGGTCCTGGCTCTGCCGTGCCCGGGGACCTCAGAACCACATCCCGGACTCGGTGTTTTCTAGAGTGGAACGAGGGCTTTAGCATCCTCCCCGAGTTCTTGAAAGTGCTTCTTGGTATTTGGCAGTTGTGGTTCGGGTAATTGGTGTTGACAAGCTGATTTGAATAAAAAATTTATTGCCGTGTAAAGTTTGTTTGCTTTTGATGATGCCCGCAGTGGTGTTGGGGCGAAGGAAGTGCGGCCGCTTTCTGACTAATGAGCCTGCGAACCCACCAGGCAAACCCTGCAGTGTTTTTGTTGCTGATTGTAGTCAACTGCTGACTGTAGTCAGTGTTGGAGTGAACTTGCTGGATAAAGCGTGTTAGAGCAGATTTCGGGAGGTCGCTGCGGATCGCTATGAATGTTTCTTTTTGAGTGTGCCGGTGCACTTTTCAGCGGGCGAGTGAAAACAACAAAACAAACCCAAACTATGTAGTGCATTTCATATGTTTGACTTTGTGCTTAGCAGAGTATGCCGGAGCGGCTCTGCTCCGCTCTCCTTTATGGACTCGAGAGCTGCTGGTTGGGTGGGAAGGGGGAGGAGGGAGGATGCGGCAGGGGATGATGGGATCTCTTTGTTTGATTTGATTTGATTTTTGCTTCTTTCATTGAACTGTGATTGTGGTATCATCTGATTTATAGAGTTAAAATCCCTCGCTGAGTGTTGCATTTGTCTCAGGAAGCTTGTCGTTATGAATGCTGGGGGGAAAAAAAAAACCCACAAATCCAGAGAATGGCAGAGATGTGCTTAAATACAGAAGTGGTGTGGACATTGAAAAAACACCTTGGCAAAATTGGTTACTTTGAAGGGACCAGGAAATTTAAGTCCACGTGTATATTTTCTTAATGATGGGTGTTTAGGAAATGTACTCAAAATGCGTCAATCAATTTCTTGTTTCAGTGTAAACATCCTGTGCTGGTGTCTGGGAAAAGTTGTGAAAATGGCTATGAATAAAAAAGGGAATTTGATCACTTTGCTTAATTTTCCAAGCTTAGTGAAAATGAAAGGTAAATAGGATGAACAAAAAGTGAAAACTAAATTATCCTCCTTTTTCGTTCCTCCCTTAACGTACAATACTGTGTGTCTCCACGGTGTTAATCGCAGTGGTATGGCAGACGGAGCAGCCGCAGTCCCTGTAACGACCAGCGCCTGTGCAGCACCTCGACAGATGCCCTGACCTGGGTGGTGTGGTGGGGCTCGGCTGCGAGTCCCTCGTTAAAAGTAACCGGCTTCGTCATCTGTGGACTTATCTTGGTATTTTCTTCACCAAACTGTGACTGAAACAAAGGCAATCCCCTCTCTGTCCGTGGCCCTGGATGCCTTTTTGGCCCCCGTACGCAGTTTCACCCCCTGCGCATGCTCCACGCACGTGTTGGTTGGAGACAGGAAGATGGGCTGCAGTGCCTTAAAAACCTGATTGCGGCCATTCCTCTTTGGGAATTATTTCACCCGCAGAGGGACCAGTCTGGATTACTCTTGCTTTGGCGTCCGACGATGCAGCGAGTGCCTTTTGCCCTGTCTTCCAAATGTGTGTGCCTGGTGGTGGCCGCCCTTTGCTGCCCGGCACGCCGGTGGGGTCACCAGCATCCACCCCAGGCACTTCCACAGCCCGGACCCTCCGGCCACCGTGGGGCCGGTGTGTCCTCCTCCATTTCAGAGGTGTACTGGGATGTGTGCTGTCCGCTGCGTGAGGTCTCCTTGCTTGCTGGGTTGCAGTGATGTGCCCCGAACCTGAATCTGCTCCCCATGGTGGGGTGTGAAACACCAGGTCTGTGGCTGGTGGAGACGAGTGCACGAGAGCAGAGGCAGCGTGGGGAGGAACGTGCAGGCTGCACATGTGTGCTGCCCCCCAGATTTATACCGTGGGTCAGCCCCCGGACTGCAGAGGCCATAAATCAGCTCAGAATTTGTCCCGGGGTCTGGGGCCATATGGTGTGCGGGAACGGGAGAGGGATGCCCGCAGGAAAGCAGAATAAAGGCTTGTGTTTGGTGCAGGAATATCTCAAAGCCTGAGAAAGGGGCAAAGTTCAATTCCTAATTGAGTGCTTTGAAATATATAGATGTATATGGTCAATGTTTGTCTTCCAGAACAAAGATCACTTTGTTTTTCAAATGTTTGTGTGTTGGGGCTGAAAACTGTACGTGGGGTCTCCACCACGAGAGGTTTCTCTGTGGTCCGTGGAGCTGCCGGGGGGTGGGTGCCCCCAGCGCGGGGGATCGGCACCTTTGGGGCAGTCTCCTGGCTTTGCTAATGTACGTGTATGGTTTCCAACACGTATACACATAATTATCTCAAAAAAGGATACATTTACATTTGTAAGAATTATTATACACAAAGTCCTGAGCTTAATTATTCCTCTGTCCGTATCTTGTACTCCGTGGAATTTGCATAACAATCACACATCAAAGCCAGAGTCTTTTACTGGAAGGAAGGTCTTTCCACTATATTATTTTGTTGCCAAATAAATTATAGTGATCAATTTAATCTAAATTTACTCTTTAATTGTTTTTTTCCCCTGCAAATTGATTGAAATGAGAGTTAAAAGCAAACTTTAAATTTAGTAGTAAGAATCTAGTACAGTAAGGTATTTAAATTAGATTGCCTTTTGTTTGATGTTTCTCACTCGTCTCTGCCAACCCCCTCACCTGTCTCTTTTTCTCCATTCTCCTTCTCTTGCCATTTTGGAAATCGAAATGATGCTTTGCTGTCACTGAAGTGAATGGGAATTCTGCCGCTGGAGGAGCAAGCTGGTGAGTATTGCGTTTAATTGATCTAGAAAAAGCAAAAAGTAATTATTCACCCTGCCTCTGCTTGTGTTTCCTGTACCTGTTGTCTCTCTAGCAGAGATGATTTAATTAGAGACCAAAGACTATTTTAAATCCGAGGTAGTTAAGGGATGCTTCAGTCTGTATAATCATTTGAATTTCTGATTTAGTTTTTATGATAGCCTACCTGGCAAACGCCAAAGGGCCCGAGTTCGCAGGTGGAGAAGCGCTCTAGTCAATGGCGAGCGATGTGGGAAGACACCCGTGACTACTGTGTTCTCTCCCTTTCTTCTCAGAAAAAATACATATATATATATGTGATCATATATTCAGTATATACTTGTGTACACTGCTGACTGCTAAAAATCCTCCAGAAAAACATGGATTATAAAGTCTTTACTTCTTCAGTGCATTAATGTTAACAGAAACCCACTGTAACACTAGAAAAAGTTTTATTGTTGTTTTATTACTCAATATTAAGGATTTTAATGAGGCTTCCACAGTTGGATATGTAAAATAATTACATCTCATCTAATTTCTAACTTTGATTAAAAAGTAAAAAGCTTATTCTGGCTTAGTTTTTGTGAATTAGGTTGGATCACAATGTACTTATATAGTGATGAAGCTGTATCCAAACCATTTAAGCATTTGGTATATGGATTATTCTTTAATATTATCTGTAGACGTGTAGCATGTGTGACCTGGATATAAACACGTATGTATATGCACAATGTTGTTGAGTACCATGTAGCCCTGATCTTTTAAGATCTGTGGAGTTTTGGTAAATAGCCTCTATTGCGTGATGTTGAATTTGTGGCCTCAACGAATATCAGGTGGGGCCGTGGCGACAAAAACCACCTGTATCCGTCCTGGGCGGCATTTTTCTCAGTTTTGGCCTCCATGAAGCCAACAGCAGAAGTTCCCTTTGATCAGGATTTAATTCTCCCCATAAATTGAACCCTGGCAAATAAAGTTTGTTTGCATATAAAACCGTATCCAAAGCACAAAACAAGATTTCTCCCTATTGTGGATTTGTTGGGGTTTTTTTTGGTAGGGAAGTTTTTTCCGTATCTTTTGCAACAACCCATAGCTCTCCACTGGTAAGATTATTGGTGAAGAAAATCAGTCAGTTAAATACATTCATACGAAATGCATCTTATACCTTTACCACTACAAACGTGATTGATTAGCTGTCTCAAGAAATGTATAGCCTTTGATAAGACTGCACCAAGAGAAGTGCCTTGTTAGTTTTAAATGGAGAACAGAAAGGGATTTTTGATGTTCCTCATTACTGGTTTTCCACTTGTGGTGGAGATAAAACATGCTAAAGTGCTTTTTCCTCTTAGGTATAAGGGCTCTTCTGCCTTTCATACCTGGTAGAATTGTGTGGCCCACTTTACATTAGTATGAATGGCAATTGCCGCGTAAATGTGACTGCCACGAATGGGTGCATAGTCTGTCGTCTCCTATTTTGTCCTTTGTTTTTATGTTTTATTCACTTTTACCCTCTACAAAAGAGCCTTAATTTAGACCTGAGAAAACAGTAGCAATACTCCAGTTCATTTAGATCTAGTGGCAGCTTTTATTTGATTTTGATGTTCTTTATGTTTTGATGGGTGTACTAAAGAGCAGAAGCTATTTTAATCAAATGAAAATTTCAGTGAGACCGTGACCTATAAATAGTGGTTTTGACAGAGTCACAGAAGTTTCTGCTACACATTTGGAAATTATTTCCATGATTTAACTGCAAGGGGCAAGTAAATCATGCCCCTTTAAGACTTAGAAAAAAGGGGGGGGTTTCAGGATCTTTAGTTCTGCTACTGAGTCATTGTATCATCTCAGCTAATTAATTTCACCTTTTATATGCTTCAGGATTTCCATCTGTGAATGAACTAATGACACCTACTTACAGGCAGTATTGTGAAGATTAATTAATTGACATTATTGAAGTATCCTGAGGTGGAAGTCCTGATGTAAGTACAAAATATTATCACTGATACTTCCTAATTAATCAGTTCACAGTAGCCGGCATGTGGTAATCATATTGGTCTAGAGCAAACAAACACAGGACTGGATTATATTTGAAATCTGTGTTCGTTTTGGGTTGTTTTTTTTTTTTCCCAGATTTCTGTTTTTACATGTTATTTGAACAATCTTATACAGTGATACAGTGTCTCTTCCCCCTGTGGCACTTACAGGTGTGGTGGGGTTTACTAAGGAGAAATATGTGATCCCAATGTTATACTGGTGGGCTTTGATGAGGATATGGAAAGCCAACTTTGGCTAGCAATTTTCTTGCCTCCGCTGGTGTAACATCACTAACACTTAAAAATGAGGTGCCCTTTTTTAATGGGGATGAAAACATTAACATTGTAAAGAAGCGCACAGCACTGATATAGTAATCCCTGTGCGTGTGGCTGAGCATCACTGAACAGAGCTTTTCCTGCAGGAAGGAGGATGGGAGGAGTGATGTTTTACATCACGAAGCATCAGAAGGGGATTGATGTTGTGAAATTGTTCATAATTTATACGGATAATAAGATCTATTCCCATGGCTGGGATGCTGTTTGCATAGTGATATGACTACAGCTGTGCAGGTCTTAGACCACATGTTTTAAAATGGCAAGAATAGCTGAAAACAGTGGAATTTGCCTGAGCCTTGCTGTAATTAAGTACTATGGAACGTATACCTAATTTTTCATAATGTAGAACACACAGTTGACAGTAAGGTGAATGTGCTTGCTGTCTGTATCGCTTCCTAGAGACCAATCACATTCCTAAATGACATGATACACTTTCTGTTGTTGAAAATGTAAGTCACAAGATATTTTTTTGGAATTATTTGCAACTGTTGCACAAGGGCGGGCGGGAGGTTTAAAGCTTCCCAAACATTCATATTTCTTTCTCCTTATGTCATCTCTTTAAAAAAAAAAAGTCAGTCACATGCAATTATGAAACTGCTCCGTGTTTGACGCAGTTGAAGATGTTTTCAGGCCACAAAAATGTAACTTTCTATGACTAATTTCAATCAAAAACCCACTCCGGCAGAAAATGTCCTCAATCTTTGGAGTCACATGGTTCTTGGAAAGCTCTCTCTTGGCTGTGCAGGAGGTCAGTCTTTTAAGGAGAGAGTCTGTGCACAAACGTGCAGCACTGCTAATGAGAGGAATTCCACACGTCTCCTCCGTGCCACAAGCTCTGTGTCCATCCTGCCGAGTGCTGCCTCTAAAGCCGTTTGGTATTAGATGTTCTGATGGATGCTGGGCTGTTACGGAGCTGGCGCAGCAAAACACTGTAACTCTCGCTACAGAGATGGCTTCCAGAAGGTAGAGTCACCCACTCCGCAAAAATGAAAAGTAATTCAAAGTAGGGCCTCCTCTTTGTCACTGAGTGCATCTCTGCTATATGGCTGCCCTTCCTTTCCCCAATGGTGATTTTGAAGCCAAACGGCCCTTTCGTCATCACTCTGGCTTAGCAGCAAAGTTGTCTGTGGATAATAGCAGGCTTCACTTCTTCCCCAGCTAACGGGTAGTCAGACAGCCAAAGAATGGCCTATCCAAAATTAGGATATGCTCAATGCACCATCCACTGGTGTTGTTCCCATCAGCCTAATTATATGACTTTTGGGTCAGACAATGTCTCATTGTGTGGCCCTTGGCAGCTACGGGACGCCTAATGCTACATGAATGTCTAATGCGGAGTTTGATGGCTATGACCGAGGCTGCAGTTCCACGCTGGAATTGAAAACATCCGTGTAGTTTCCATAGAAAACCAGGTCAGTGGTGCTTCCATAAAGCATTAGCCCCAGGGAAAGCTATTGGTTGCACGTTGCCTGTACAAATCCATGCAGGGTGAGTAGTTTACGGCACATTTCTCTTTCAGGTAAATGACAATTAAGGCATTAGATTGATTTAGTCTTAAGCGACCTATTTCATAATCCTCATTTAATGCAAGCACCATCCCTTATCCATTTATCTCTATCTTTTCTTCTATTTTGTGCATTTAAGGATACTTGGGAGGTATCTTACAAACATTGCAAGCACAATGGTTATGACTTTGTACCGGTAGGTTAAAAAAAAAAAATCGCTTTATGTTTTCTTTGACTGTAAATTTTTAGGTAGAACTATCCTACCTTTACAACACTTCCTGTAAAAACTTGCCTTTTTTACAGGCAAAAGCGAGGTATGAATGTAAAAGGCAATTCATTGTAGATGAAGGCTGTAATATGCTTGTTCATTCCAAAGGAGAATGTATAACTAATTACGTTTTAATTAAATCTGTAACGTCAACAGCTGGTTTTAAGGGATCTTTTTAAGCTACATTTATTTTTAGTATTGTTTAACATTGTCTTTCTTTGCGTGCATCTCCCTTCATGCATTATTGCCTTTTAAAAAGTTTTCCCTCTTTTAAAGTATCAGCTACCACTGGTATATATTAAAGGCTAAGTGCTGGTAAAATTAGTTTTTTAAGATGCTGGCTGTGACTTTTCTAAGTAGAGAGCAAAAAGAAGCGACACCACCAAAATGCCATTTGTTCTCTTTTTCTGCCAGAAGTAAAAAGTTTCAGTTCCAAACCCCAAATTGCTGAGGCCGGTTTTCAGCTGACAGTGGTTTATGTTGGCTGGCTGTTATCAGTTCCTCTACAATGCAGCTGCTAATTACACTAATAGGACAACTACGTCTTCAGACTGAGTGATCCACACTGATTTAATCCTTTTCCCCCCAAATCAACAGCAGCATCAGTGAGTATCCTTCAACTCCTAGAGAAAAAAAAAAAAAACCACTAAACCCTTTTCACATGAAAAAAAACTTAGCCAAATTTAGGGCTTCACGTATCAGGGCTTGGTCCTGTTGACTTTCCTGGAACTCGTGCCCACCATAAAGCTTCAGGTGCCACTGCAGCTTCTTAGTGTTCTTGGTTTGTCATTTGCAGCCTGGATCATCCAGAAGCTGAGAGGAAGGAAAAAGGAGTCTTTATTTAGCCTGTAGAAGCCTGGAAGCTCTGTCATGGGACTCACCAGCGCCCGCTGTCTCCCCACCACCGCAGGACTGTGAGGTGAGCTCTGTGTTGGGTCTTGGGGTCAGAACCACACCGGTGATCTCCATCCTGGCCCCGGTGAGACCCAGATCCGTTGCTTGCTGTCTCTGCTGTAAGGGGACACAGCTCTACCCTGCACCTCTGCACTCCCACCTGAGCACGCCTGGCAGCCGTTACTGTGCTTCTGTGGAGGACGGAGTTGGCCGCTCCCTGCAGAGCAGCTCCCCGCAGTTGGGCTTGGCACCTCCAGCACCCTGCGGGGTATGGCTGTACCACCGCTGTACCTGTCTCATCCGTGGCAAAATCGTTCAGGGGCATCTTCCAGCCCTGTGAAGGAGTTTAAAACCCATCCCCTTTCTCTCTGCTCTGATCAGGGGGGTTGGTTCAGGTCAGGGTGGATTTGCAGATAGCCCGGGTCTGGCTGATCGCTAGCTGCTGTCTCCCTGCAGTTGCTGGGCTCCCTGTGGTTACGGGTCAACCCACAGTGAAGATACCCTCTGCAATCTCCTCTGCTCTGCCTGTCACCTCTCCTCTTGCTGAACTGCGTGGCTTTGCATGATTCAGAGTCTTAAGCGCTCCAGAAATGGAAGGAAGTATTTGAGAGATGATTACTGTATTGCTGTGCAAGGATATGTAGCTAATATCAGTTTGCTATCTAAACTCTAATATTCTGTAAACATCAAAAGCCAGTAATCATGAGAGCTCTGTGTTGGTTTTGGAAGGTAGGTCCATTATAGATTGGAATGCCAGTGGATTTGCTACATTTGCTAAAATGTACTAAAATGAATAAGAATTCCTTATCTTTTTCAGGGAACTAGCCAAGAGGCTCAGAAAGACTTGATGTCTGAGGCTAAGATAATTGATCTAGTGGCAGTAAAATAATGGCAAATCAGAAAAAATGGTGAAACTAGTTAACACCTACAAATACATGGGGGTTATGTTTTTCATTGATAAATGGGGATTTGTAAGACCCATGATTTGCAAGAGCAGAGTTGATCCTTTGTATTTTACTGTTAAGTTTCTCTTCTCTCCTTGCAAGTGCCCTGCATCTATTTTTGATCTCAGGCAAGCGTAAATCACAGTTAACACTGGTGACATCACTGTAATTGCACATATCTGAAGTCAGTGTATTTGAGAGAAAATGAGACCTGTTCGGTCAGATTCCTCAGAGGGGGAGTCTCTGAAAGCGGAGCAAACTCACACGAGTGATATGAATTACCCCTAGCCTGATGCCGTTGTAAATGAAAGCTGAATCTGACCAGCTTAGCGCTGTGGCTGGAATAGTATTTTTGCTGAAAAATGCCACAGCTTTCTACAGCAAAAATGCCTTTTATTTCAATAGTGTAAAGCAGTCAGAAATACTAAGATGTGCGGCGTTTCTTCAGCACAGTGAAGGATGCTCCTACGTCCACTCCTGATGGACGGGTCAGCTGTTCGTGGAGCAGCAGACAGCTCAAACCCTTTTAATGAATTGGTGGGGTAACTGAGCCTAACAAAGATCCCTGGGGCGCTTGCAAGCATTTCTGAGAATATCATACTGAGCAAAACCACTTGCTATGGTCTTGTGGGATGTACACAGGACAGAGAGTTAGAGCTGGGCTTGCAGCTGTGCCTGCTGATGTGAGTAAATCACTGGTTTTCTCCTCTCAATTTAGTTATTAAACAGGGAAGTAGTCTTGGATTGCTGTATTAGGGTGCTGTGAAGGTAGGTTAACTTCTATTAAAACCTGCTTAAAATTCTGGATTGGAGAGCATAGTGGAAATGTGAATCATCTTGTTATGTTAGACGCTGTGGAATTAGCAAGCATGGTTAATCCCTTGTGTTCAACAATAATTTCTCTGTACCGGGACAGAAAAAAACAGGGCCAATAAGAAATATGCCGCAGCTAGGCTGACAGAGGCTGCAGTGAAACAGCATTTTGATTTGTTGGTCTCTCAGAACTTTGCTTAATGTGTTACTATTTCTTCTTGTTAGAGCTGATTGAATCGCATAAAACTGAATTCCAGGAGCTGAATAGCTACATGGCATTGTATTAGGAGACATACCAATCACTCCAGCATTGCTTTCCTGATGCCAACAACACGTACTGCATACCAACATCCACACTGTACCAGAGATGCTCTTCTATGTGTCTGGAAAATTGCATGACAATTTGTGCGAGATGAGCATATCTTGCGTGCTGGGTTATTGAAAAGTTGAGTAGCTTGACTGGTGTTACTTTCAATAATATTTACCAGCAGACTCTATGTATTGACTTTTAGCTTTTAGACCTACTGTTGTGTTGGATTACTGTTACTATCAGATAGTAATTGCAAAATTTTAATTTTTTTTTTTAAATGTTTTTGCAGGTAACACTTTTATTTAGCAGAGAGTCATACAGAAAGCTCCTGTTTTGCTTTACCCAACCTCTCTCCCACCTTTCACCTCTCAGGTCATGGCAGTTTACAGACAAGCTGCAGCAGGTGAATTGGGCAAGGAGATGGTGAGGATGTGCCCTGGTGTGTTGAAGCATTCAGAGCATGAAAAGTCCTGGTGAATCCTAAGCTGCCCAAGTCGACACGCACTTTCTTCCTGACCTCAGTGGCTGCAGGATTTTCCTGCCATGCCTGTTGGCTGCCTGGACAGCAAGAAACCATTTCTTTGCCTTTGTGATCACACACATATGGCTTCACAGAGCAGGTACGTTCTGTGCGGCTGATAACTTGGGGAATGCATGTTCTCCAGTCAGAAACGTGCTTTTCCTGTTGTGAAGACTATTCAAGTTATCTGTGTATAACATCATGAGCTGGAAGAGAAAGGGGATTTGTGCCCTTTGAAGAAGCTCCTCCAGATTCTTTTCTGTCTCTCTTCAGTGCGATACACCACTATTTACATTCTTTTCTACCTCTTTTTTCTCCTGCTTGCTCCTTCCTTTCCGGCAGTTGGAGTCTGGCTTTGGTCTGGCTGGTGGATGCAAGTTTTCGTTTCACTGTGTTACTGGATTTTTTGGTTCTGGGGCAGAAGCCGGGCTGTCTCACAGCAGCTCCTCTTTGCATTAGACCCTGTCAGGCCTCTCCTGCGCTGATGCACTTATTAAAAGCTTAGTTATTTATTAATTTCCTCTTCACTATCTTTAGATAAATGTCTGGACTTGGAAATGATCAGTCATGTTTTTTTCATGTTGCCTTGCTCTTTTTGTTCTCTTATATCAGTATGGAAACCCGTGGTGTTGCTACAGCACTCAAACCTGGAAAACAATGTTTCTGACCCATCTATCTATACTTTTTCGGATTATCTTTTCTGTTTTTCTGAA